AGTCTCCTGTGTCTGTCAATCTTCTGTGTCTATGTCTGTCAATCTTCTGTGTCTGTCAATGTTTTGTGTCTGTCAGTCTTCTGTGTCTGGTCTGTCAATCTTCTGCTTCCTAAACAAGCCCTCTTTATTTAGTTCACCTTTTATGGATAAACTTTTAAAAATACTAATATTTTATTAAAACAAAGCAGAAATATCATCTTCTTTGAATAATAGTAAAAATAAGATTGCTTTATATTGAAAACAAAAACCCTGACTTGCTAACAAGAGAGCAAAGTGGCTTCAAACTCAGTAAGGAGCAGGAGAGTCTGTAAAGTAATGTGATGCAAACTCCCAAAGTGTAGCGCATAGGCGGGACTAATAAAGACAATGGCAGAAACAAAGGCTGGCCTGTAGCAACGACTGCTCACAGTGATGGTGACTTTCCCACTGGTGTCTAAACTCAGCACCCTGCGTGTTCTACAGCATGCTCACACAGCATCAGATGCCATGGAGCCTTGCACGGTGGAGCACAAGCCAAACAGAAGAAAAATGCTTGCCATGTGTTTATCCCAGACTTCTGCTTACTGAGCTGCCCAGCCTCGTCCCTACCACGTCCCTGAGCTGTATCTCTGGGAACTAACAGGAAGGCATTTTGTCAAAGTTGTTCTCTTCTAAAACTGTTATCCTTCTTTCTTTCACATTTTTCTGCTCCTCTCACCCCCACCAAAGGGACCTGAACTGTAAATATCTATTAGCTTTTTCTTTAATGAATTTAATATTAATCTGAAATCTCCATTTTTTCTTTCTTTTTAAAGATTTATTTATTTATTTTATGTCTGTGAGTACACTGTAGCTGTCTTCAGATACACCAGAAGAGGGCATCAGATCCCATTACAGATGGTTGTGAGCCACCATGTGGTTGCTGGGAATTGAACTCAGGACCTCTGGCAGAGCAGTCAGTGCTCTTAACCGCTGAGCCATTTCTCCAGCCCTGAAAATTCCATTTTCTAAGTATAAACCACTAAGAATATGCATCCTTGTAAACTCCAAAAATTAAAAAAAATACACAATACACTTGCTCTTTAAGTAGTGAAACAAAAACAAAAGCAACCCTCATAGTAAATAAATTATTTTTAACTTCAAATTTCAAAAGTATAAGCACCAAGTCTTACTTCATAGATTAAATGTGGCAAGACACTCAAGCCTCACTGGGTCATAACCCATTCATTGCTCCTGTAACTGACGGCTTTATTGTTATCAGAATCTGTAATCAGGGTCACAGCCCTACAAACATAGTCTATGGAAAGTTTCTAGGCTGGGCATGATGCACTCTCAATCCCAGCACTTGAGAGGCTGAGGCAGGTGGATGTCTGTGAGTATGAGGTTAAAATGGAGTTCTAAGATAGTCAGAGTTATATAGAGAGACACTGTCTCAAAACACCAAAACACAAAAGCAAAACCAGAAAGAGAGAGAGAGAGAGAGAGAGAGAGAGAGAGAGAGAGAGACAGAGAAGGCAACCTTTTTTAGGGCAACATAATTATAAACAGCATTTTCAAAGATCAAATGCTGAGGTTAGCAGGTTAAGAGAAAACAGAGGTAAGCCGGGCAGTGGTGGCGCACACCTTTAATCCCAGCACTTGGGAGGCAGAGGCAGGCGGATTTCTGAGTTCGAGGCCAGCCTGGTCTACAGAGTGAGTTCCAGGACAGCCCGGGCTATAAAGAGAAACCCTGTCTCAAAAAACCAAGAGAGAGAGAGAGAGAGAGAGAGAGAGAGAGAGAGAGAGAGAGAGAGAGAGAGAGAGAGAGAGAGAGAGGAGGCAGAGAGCAGGCCCCGTGGTCGACAGTGGCTTCCTCTCTACTGTGGAAGATGTAACTATGCAACTTGGTCCTGAGCAGCCAGAACTGCATGTGACACACTAAAGGTACACGTTCACTCAGTCAATGAGAAATACAAATCATGCGAAGCTGTGATTGGACCCCAAACTTACAAACACTGTCCTAATACAGGCCCAGATGAGTGCCATTTTGCCAATAAAGCAACTTTTAAAATAATATAGCTACTCATGAGTACCTAAGCCAGAGTGCTCTTCCAACCAGGCAAAACAAAAGAAAAAGAGACTGTTGTGCTGTTGGCTAAAAGAAAGGATTGCTTTTACGCTTCAAACAAAGAATGCCGGCGTGCTCATACCTGGTTCTGTTGATGCAAAGAAGCTGGACTCCTGGGTCCGAAGAAATATTTTTTATTAAGGTATTTGTTTTTAATGTATATAGACTTTTCCTCTCTTTGCTTTTGGTCTTTAAAAACGATTCTTCGGAACTGTTCAATATCTATCCAACACATAAGGTCGATGCTGGAAACAAAGTAGATTCCTTCTTAATGACTGTTCTACACTCAGTTAAACAGTAGCCAAGCCGCTGACACTCAGGAAGTGGCTGACCAGACAAGGAACCAGAGAAGACAGCGCAGCTTCCTCCCCGCCCCCCAAGTCGGCTCTGTTGTTGCTACATTTTCAGTCCTCGATAAATCTGACCTCTGGCAAGGAATACTGAGGACAGAAGCGATCGCTCAATTACTGGAGGTGTCTCAGAGCTGTCAATGCTAGACTAATATCTTTAATTTCAAACATGGGGGAAATGGCACATATATGTCATGTGATTTAACAAAGGGGCCAATTTAGAATAATCCTCATCTTGATGAGGAGAAAAGGTGAAGTTTGGCCCAGAGTTCAAACTAGTTTGTCTTAAGATGAGACAGAAAAATATGATCAATATTTCAGTTTAAAGAACGTATGTTGCCAAAACTACAATGTTTGACTTATATATTAGTTAATAAAATTGTAACACTTCCAAGAAATTCTACCATGAACATCAGACAAAAGGAAAGCTTTTTTTCAAGCTAGCTGGTACTAAAAATCCCAACAAACCTACATAACTGCTTAAAATACCACTTGAGAGGTTACAGCGACAACCGGCATTGATGTAAAGTCATCTAAACAGACTGTAGTATGTTTGTTCAGTTTTTACTGACATAGACATAGGTAAAGATCTACTAGCAAGCCATTATTATAGCGTTAATCGAAGAAGTACCAAAAAAAGAATTCTTTTTTTTTTTTTTTTACTGATAAATGAACTTAGATTCAAGTAGATATTTCCTCACCTTGCAGAATGAGACTCTAGAAACTGACGGAAATGTTCAAATTCCAGCTTGTTGTTAAGGAGGTCACTAAAAGTGAAGTGTTTGTACTCCTCGGGGACATTGAGCCAGTACTCTGTTTGTTTAGAGACATCTGAGAGTGACAGCGTGGCCGCAGCAGATCCAGCGGTGTCCTGGTGACAAAACACTTCCATAAATAATCTCATAGTGCAACAGATAATTTACAGTTTTAACACAGAAACTGGAGGGAAAATTCACTATTTGGCCAAGGCCAGTTAGCAACTGGTAGAGCTGAGTAAGTAAACTCCATACTCACACTCTGAAGCTCAAAGTCTTTCCTGTGCCTTTCACCCCTTTCCCTTTTAATGAATATTAGAAAACACTTACTAGAAATAAACAAAGTATTCTGTGTGCATGTGTGTGTGAGCACAAGTTTATACAGGTGGCATGTGTTAAAAAATTGCTTCAAATATTACTTTTATTTCTTAGCAAAGTGGAAACGCCTTTTATAATAGAAACAAAATTATAAAATTACACTATCACCCAGAGATGACTACCATCACCATGTTTACATAATCTCTTAGTCTCTATCTATATATACATAGCTTTTAATAACCTACAAATATAAATATCTTACATCTATATATTTATAAATTGAAAGTATAATTTATATACTATTTAAATATCTTAAGTATATAGTAACTATAATTAATAATAAATATATTAAATTTAAATATCTTATATCTAAATATGTATAAATACTTCTATATTAATATAGCATATAGAATATAAATACAACATATATAATACATATAAATATAACATGCTTATATAATTATATTTATAATTATATAATTATATTTATATTATAAATATATCTAATTATATAGTGTTATATTATAAATATATTTATAATATAATTATAATTATAATATAAATATGTATATATAGTTTATTTAAATATCTCAAGTACATTATAACTATGATAAATAATAAATATATTAAATTTGAATTTTTTTAATTTAAATTTTTATTTTAAAATGTTAATCACAGGCTTTATAAGTTTGGTAACACTCAATAACAAGATGCCCATACAATCAGAAGTGTAACCCAATACTCAACCTAGCTATACCAACTATCTTTGACTGCCGGAGACCCGCGAACATCTTCCTCCATGTTCCCCTCCCCCCTTCTCTTCTCTCTCTCTTCTCTCTCTCTCTCTCTCTCTCTCTCTCTCTCTCTCTCTCTCTCTCAATCTCTCTCTCATCTCCTAGCTCCTCCTCTCCTTACTCTTCCCACCATAGCTCCTCCTACATATCACCCTTCCTGTTAAGATAAAACTTTTCTCTCAAAATACAATTAGAGCATAACTATACCAATTTGTATCAGTAAGGTACAAGATAGACCTAATACCCAGTCCATCGTTTTGTTGACTAACCAGAACCTCTGTCATCTCTCCTTACTAAAAGACTTAGTTCTGAACCTGGCGTTTTTCTTGGCTTTAGAATGAATGTCAGCTGAAAACCACCCTCTCAAGTCTTTTCTCTCAAAGTAAATAGCTGGGATTGGCTGTGAGACTACAAGTCTTAAACCCTGTCAGAAATCCAGAATGACTGAATTAACTGAAATAATGGGAAGCACAAAGCATAGCTTCTAAAACTTAGCCAACTTATAGAGACCGCTGAACACCTGGACAGTCCCTATACTACAAAATGTTGGAGCATCCGATCTTCAGCCTTCCGGCCCAGGATCATCTGACAGACCTCGAGATGCAGAATTATTAAGGGCTGATTACTCTATCTTGGCAGATATAATCAGTCGACTATTCCACAAGTGTGTCCTTTTCAGGACAATAATTTGTCTGTAGATGAAAAGAGGCAATTCTTGCCTAGTGGCTGTCTCACCACAACTGGAGTAACTCAAAAGATGCTCAATTTCTTCTTAGAAGCCAACACAGAAAGCTGTCAGGAGCAGACAGGTCTCTAATAAAAATGAACCTTAATACAGAAATGTTTGTAATGTCAATTCTGTGGACTTATGACAGTTTGAAAACCAACTATCGGGCTGGAGAGATGGCTCAGCGGTTAAGGGCACTGACTGCTCTTCCAGAGGTCCTGAGTTCAATTCCCAGCAACCACATGGTGGATCACAACCATCTGCAATGGAGTCTGATGCCCTCTTCTTGTGTGTCTGAAGAGAACAAAGGTGTACATAGGTACATGTACGTTAAATAATAAATAAATCTTTAAAAAAAAAAAAAAAAGAAAACCAACTATCCATGTAAGGCAATCTGAACCATTGTCTGTTAACTCCTCTCAGCTATTTCTAAATATAATATAGAAAACACCCTAACAATCAACTCAGAGCCATGATTTTGCTGTAGGCCCTTAACACACAGGCTGACCATCTCAAATCAATTAACAATGTTAAAGAAGGACTGGGTCTAAGCCTTGTATTCCTAAATGTGTTATATAGGCACAATGCCTATGAGAGTAACAATATTAATCTCACTTCTAGATCAATAAGAAACTCATACCAATGAAAACCTTAAATTTGAAATCAAAGTAAATTTTGTACCATTTAAGAAATTATAACTTCAGCTTAATAACAATTATACAGATTTCTACCAATAGGTTATGGCTATGCAATAAATCCTAGCTATTCCTCCCTGTTCCAACAAAACCACTACTTTTCCCTAGAAAGACAGCCCAATATTAAGCACCTCAGTCCCCAGGCCCAGGGAATAGGGGTGCTGACTCTTCATTAACTTCTTCAAGCTGATTATGGGCATTGAGATATTAGTTACAGTTATATATTTATAAATTATTATATTTTATATTTATATAAAATAAATATATTTACATATAAATATAGCCTATATAGTAGATATAAATACAACATATAGAATACATATAAATATAACATGCTTATATATTTTATATAATTGTATTTATATATATTATATATTTGCATATATAGCGTATTAAAATGAGGATACGATCATGTACCTACGGCTTTGTAACTATATTCTTAATCTTAACTTATAATGGACATAAAATATTCTTCTATACCTATTTAAAAATTTTTAGATTTATTTTATATGTATGAGTGTTTTGCCTATAAGTATGTATGTATACCATGTATGTGCCTGGTGCCTGCACAGGTCAGAGGAAGCATCAGGTCCCCCAGAAACTGGAGTTACAGACCCTTGTGAGCTACCACACGACTCCAGGAACTGAGCCCAGATCCTCAGTGGCTCTCAACCACTGAGTCAGCAGCTGGCACCAACCGCACGCACACAATTGTTAGTGAGACTAACTCTCCTTCCCGTTTGTTTTCTAAAAGTGTGCAGCCATGAGATAAACTACCAATATTTTAAAAAGAAGTGCTCCCTTTAAAAGGAGGGAGTATGCATAGTATTATAAACTTTGCTTCTGAAGCTTAAAGTACATTATTATGTGCTATCTTTATGGTACGTACATACTTCCCAGGTTTTAATCAATGGTACATCAAATAGAGAACATTTGCATCAACAAAAGAACTACTGAGGTTTAATTTTTATTATTTATTTATTTATTTATTTATTTATTTACTTATTTTTGGTTTTTCGAGACAGGGTTTCTCTGTGTAGCCCTGGCTGTCCTGGAACTCACTCTGTAGACCAGGCTTGCCTCAAACTCAGAATCTGCCTGCCTCTGCCTCCCAAGTGCTGGGATTAAAGGCGTGCGCCACCACCACCCGGCTAATTTTTATTTTTATTGGATATTATATTTACATTTCAGATGTTATCCCCTTACCCCATTCCCCTAACCCCGAGGTTTAATTTTTAAAACTATTGTTTTTGAAACACCTTATTTATACAAAAATTAAAACTTCAGTAAAACCCAAAAAGGAAACTAAAAATCATCTGGAAGCCAGCATTTGGATTATCTCTCATTTTGGTGAACTTCTTCCCAGGTGTCTCTCCCTTTTTTGCATATATGTACATATATGAACACGTGTAAATATATGTAAGTACTAGCACATGACATGAATTGGAATTTGGTTTTGTTTTGTTGAGACAGGGTCTCTTTGTGTAGCCCTGGCTGACCTGGAAGTCTCTATGTTGACCCAGCTGGCCTTGAACTCACAGAGATCCCCTGCCTCTGCCTCCTGAGTGCTGGGATTAAAGGTGAGAGGTATGTGCCAGCACCCCTAGCCTGACATCTGTGTTTTTATTCCATATACTTTTATATAACTGTGGGTCCTGAGCATTGATTGCACCTTTTATGTAGCTGCATACATTTAATTTTATGTTTCGCGAACCTATCATGATTTATGTAATCAGCTGAGCTGGGCATGATGGCACCATACACGTAATCCCTCCCAGCCTGTGTCAGGAGAGGCTGGCGGGCTCCGGCCATCCCAGCTGTGCTAGGGAAAGGCCACTTTGGGTTTTGTGAGACTGTCTCAAAGTAAACAAACAAATAAATGTCACAATTTTGTAAATAAAATAAGAGTTAATATCCCAACCAATCCTATGTTCTTTTTACTGACTTCTCCAATCATTTACTGTATTTTTCTTTTTTAAAAATCTGTTGCTAATCATGATAGTTTCTTTTTGTTCAGAAAATGCAACTGAACTCTTGTAATTTGACAACAAATGTAATTCCACAAAATAATGGGAACCATTTAAGGGAGTGTCCTGCGGTGAAAGGCTTAGTCCCTGATCGTAGGAGAGAGACACGGATGGCCTGGATCCCTGTGTGGCTTCAGCTTAGCTTTTCCAGCTATGCTGAACACGTCATTATAACGCTGTGACCTGTCAAATGTAGCAAGCATGCTAGGCAAAGGGGCGGCAAGACGGTGACCCTCGAGTCTCTGTCTCAGTACTGTGCGTCTCACTAAGGTCTCCTCCCACAGGATAAATGGGGTGAGTGTCTGGAGGATACCAAATGGAGATTTTCTAGGTGCAGAGTGTCTTACCTCAGCCTTCTTGGAAACTGTTTCTTTATGCAAAGCACGTAGCTTTCTGAAGTATGTGGAATCTAGCTGCCGAGTCTCTTCTTGTAGCTCCACCTAAAAAGCAAGATGTATAATACTAGTAGAATGTACACTATGAAAAGGGGGAAGAACACAAAGTCTACCAAAATCAGTGTGCTCCTGCAAAGAAGCAAAGTGCTTCCAACGCAAGAGCAGAAAGCTCTGTGTCATTAAAAGAATTAGTACAATCAAGTGACATACACAAGGAAGAACGGACACTTTCTACTTAATGACACAGTTGCTGTCAAAGACCCCCTCCTCGCTGGGCACACACAGTGTTGATCAGTTTCAGTTTCTAATCAACAACAGAATGTGTCGGGGAGACAGCTAAGGCTGTGGGCTGTACGAACCTAGCACTTCACAGGAGAACAGCAAGGACAACGCTGTTTCCTGATCTCCTCCTAAGTGTACTATTGCTATAGCAAAAGAGATAGTCAAATTTCACTCACAGCAAGCAGGTCTGTCTTCCTACCAGCTAATGTACCATTTTTTTTTGTACCATTTTCTCTAGGCCAGTAGAGAAATAAGACCACTCTCCAATTCTCTATTGTAGAGAAAAACCAATTTGGCTGGCTAACTGCCCGGGAACTTTCTGTGTGTAATAGCTAGCTTTGGTAGTCTGTTTGAAACTCCTTCTGAAGACCAGTCTACACTACACAGTCAGCTAGGCTTTTAGCACTCTGGACTGCAGTTAAGGAAGATTCTAGAACTATGAATAATTTCCCCTCTTTTATTAAGAACAATATATAATCCATCTTACATATTTTTATAAGATTCATTTGTTAATGCTTCAGCTCAGGGCAATTATAATTCCAAATTTCCTTTACAATCCCAGGATCCTATAGACTTCACATTTCTTTTAAGAAATGTAGTACATATTATAAATGAGTCAAAAGAGGCTTTTAAAATATCACATGAGATTCTAATTTTTCTAGTGTAATCTATAAATTCATAGAGTTGAGGGAATACTGTGTTAATTTTTTTAGAATTGCAAGAATTAAGGAATAAAAATCTAGTTACTTTGGTTGCTGAATTTATTAAGGCTAGATAGTTGTTTTAGTCACAATTCAATGGGGTGAGTCTACATAAAGTGTTTATTAATTCTATCATAATTACATAATTTATCCTTCTTGGTAGACAATTCAAGTCATTTGGTAGGTATTAATAAACAAGAACAGCACAGCCACTCCCACACACAATGACCTCACAGACCAGGTACATGTGTTCACTGATGGAAAAAAGACCCAAGGGCAGTTTTAATATGTGATTCAAAAGAACTATCTAAAGATATTTTCTCGATCTATCAATGATAATAATAAAAATATCCCAGCGCTGAGGTTTAAAATGATGTCTTTTGGAATGTAAAAAGCTGTGTAGAAACGTATCCTGTGGAGCATTAGGATTTGATGAGCTCCTGGCACTATAAATAGAAGTGCTGACGTCCAAGGTTTCGCCTTTCACAATACACGGGAAGAATTTAGACTTCCTATGGCTGTGATATTTACTGTAGTCCATGCAGCAGGAGAGGAAAAGGCTCTTTCCTGTTCATCATGTGACCACGTGGTGGGGGAGGTGTGTAAAGGACAGTACTCATCTGGCTAGTCTGCACAAAGCAAACGCTCACATTTCTCTTTTGAGAACTTCTGTGCAAAGAACTAAGGGTGACAGAGATTAAGTCTTTTGTTAAGAGACAATAAGAAAACTGGCAAGAAAAAAAAAAGATTAAAAAATAAAGCTAATAAGCATTTTCCCTGCTGTGCCTTGGGTCTTCCAAAGCTGCAGCCCATCTGAGGCCATCCCTTGCCCACAAGCATTATTGGCTGGCCATCATACCTTTTTGTAAGCCACCTGGTCTGACATCACCATCTGTGTCCAGGGCTCCAGAAGGCTGAGAAGGATAAACTCCTCTGCTGTGTCAAAAAGGTCTTCGAATGGCGGCTGTATTTTCATGTAAATGTCTTTCTTCCCTTCCTGATGGAGTCCAATGTCTAGACTGGCTGACGGAGCAATGTAAGTGGCAAAAAGATACTGGGAGAGCAGGGTGTGGCAGAGGGGTGGGGAGATGCACAGTGGTTAGCAAGCACACTGGCAAAGACGGCAAACCTACCTACGACACAACAGCGTTTCTCCTCTTCTTTTCCACTAGAAATTAGCAACAGACATTGTTTGCTCAGGTAACAAGCATCTAAGGAGACACTGTGCGTGGCACTGCTGGTTTTCCTTGAGTGGTGTTACAGACTCAATCCTGTATACCAGGCAAATACTCTCCCACTGAGTGACACCCCAGCCTTCTAAAGTGCTTTTAAAGTATTCATCTGTAGAACAGCCTGTACTCCCAACCCTCAGGGGGCAGTGGCAGAAAGATCAGTTCAAGGTCACTTCAGCTTCATAGTGAGGTCAAGGCCATCATAGGCTACAACACTGTCTTAAATTAAAAATAAATAAAAACCTTAAGACACAAAAGTCAAGGCCATGTGGGCTGAAAATCCAGCTATTGGTACTCTTCTAGTCTAGATGCCAATTTCCCAGCCTGCTTAATCACAGAGTCTAGGAATGGCTAATTGGTCTCTTTTGGTCATACAATGTCTCCATCTGGTGTCCAAAGCTGTGGGATGGATACAGGAAAGTGATACGGGCGAATAGGAAGATATGCCAGGACTTCTGATGGCCTCTCACAAATGTGCATCTGTCTGCTCATCTGTCTTGTTGCTCAATCATAGCTATCATACCTAGGGAGCGACTTAATAACACTGTCACATCACTATCCCTGAAGAGTAGAAAATACATGCATATGTATATGTACATATACATATACATATACATATATATGTATATGTGTGTGTGTGTGTGCGCGCGCGTGTGTATACATACACACACGCGCACGCGCACACACACACATATTTTAAGAAATGGGAAGTACTGTTTTTCACATGACTCAGACCTGCAGGACCAGCAGAGAAAAGGACCAGAGAAAAGGACCAGAAGAATCCAGAAGAGGTGCAGGAATCCAAGGGAACTATGAAGAAAGAGCTTACAGCCTCACCCTGTCACCTGCAGAACCCCTGGAACTCTGGGGCTCCTCCCCCACACCCCCCACGGCACACCCCTTGGAATCTGCCAGAGGTCCAGAGGACGAGAGACCTTCCTGTGTACTCAGTGCAGCTGACCACGATTAGGTCTGTAAGTATTTTTATCTTGTTTCCTATTATTTCATTTCCATTCTTGTATTCACTCCTCCTGGTGATTTTGCTTTTGTTCAGTGTTGCTCGGGGCGGTTGCTTCCATTCTCCACCCTGTTTGCTTTAAGGTATATTCTACACTTCACCCAGCTCGTAGGCCCATCTTATTCCCAAGTCTGTCCTTCCTTCTTCTATCCTTATCCCTCCTCCCTCTACCTAATTCTAACCTTCCATAGATTTAACAATGTCCAAAATCTGTGCCCCTAAGAAGATCCCAACTCCCCCCTCCAGCCTACTTTACTTCATTCAGTATATTATTTTTTTCATAGTCAATATTTAGTCCTTATATGTATCCACCTTACTTCCCTCCCACTCCTAATCATGGTAACTAAAATCTAAGTATGTCCCACTCTCCTCTCCCTGCTTGTTTATCCTCCAACAGTTGTTGAAATCAGAGGGGCCACTGTTGCCAGCTGCTAGTACAGTACTTGCATAGCTGTACCACCAAGAAGCAGTGGTTGCTTTCCCAGTTGCCCACAGCCAATGACAAAAAGCTTACACTGGACACCCTGAGCTCCTAGAATAACCAATGATTTTCTCAAGGACACACTACCACTGCCAAGCCTCATGTGAGCATTGTAAATACTTCAAGTAAAAGAATATAGCTACTATGTAAAAAATATATATATATAGCTGATAAAACATAAAGCAAGCAACAATATAATATCTAATATGTAAATTCCCATACTAGAGCATAAGAAACATGAAAAACCAAGTCGATGTAAGTCTTTCAAAAATTATTGACCCTCATTCATCTAGTGAGAGAGAGAGTTAGAAGATATCCTAGACAGAACTAAAATAACTATAAATTCCTACAAAGACACAAAAGGTATTGAGAGGAGGAAGGTGGGGGATGACTTGGAAGAATTCAGCAAAAAGGCAGAAACAACGAATTAAAACAGCCTGAAATGTTGGGGATGAAAAGGCACCAAATCAATAAAACATGTGAAGGTCAGGAAAGGCAGAACAGCGAAGTCTGCAAACAAAGGGAAGGAGGCAAAGTCAAAAAAAGATGTCATTTCACATGTCAAGATGTACAGGATGGTCTGAAGAGATTCAACATACAGAGAGTGAGCACAGAGGGAGAACCTCGTTCTCAAGGCATAGAAAACATTTTCAAATGGGTCATGTAGAAGATATCCCAGTTAAGGAAAGAGACCAATCTAAATACTGGAGACAGCTAACAACCAAAGAGAGAAGACCAAACATAAGAACCTCCCCTCATCATATTGTAACTAAAACACTGACTATACAGACAATGAGAAGATAGTTAAAGTTGCAAGAGAATCACCAAGTCACATACAAAAGCAGGCCCATCCAAAAAATAGCAGATTTGTTAACTGAAACTTTAAAACCTCAGAGATTCTGGGCAGGCAGATTTCAAGTTCTGAATAGCAACTGCCAACCCAAACTGCTATACCAAGCAAATCCATCACAACTGAAAGAAAAATAACAACTTTCCATAATTAAAAAAAAAAAAAGCTTATGACTACTTAACCATTTCTACCAAAGATACTTAAAGAAATCTTACATAATTAAGAGGAAGAAAATATCCATCCATGATCTACACAAAAGAATAAACCACACTAGAATATTAAAGCAAGAGGGAAAAACCAAACACTACAAAACCAAAATATGATAGGAATTAATGCACACCTCTCAGAAACAGCTCTGACTATTAACAGTCCCAAGTCCTCAATCAGAAGGCACTATAGATCACATCCAACACTGGGAATCATGTGTTTGTTTCCTCCGAGAATGCACCTCATCACAAAAGAGAGATGCTGCCCTCGAGTAAGTGGATGGAAACAAGACTCAATAGACCCAGGGGTAAGCAAGTGTCACTGCTCTAACATCTGACAACACAGACTTCAAAACTAGTGAGAAAAGATAAAGGTCACTGCTTGTGACTAAGAGACCAGTCCATCAGGGGGACATTATGATTCTAACATGCACGCCTAAAACACCGCTGCAGTCAGTTTCATGAAAAACAATACAGTAGATGTAAAGTGACAGACTATCCCAAGCACGAAGGTCCCTGTTGTCAACATCCCACTCTCACCACCTGACCAGTCACCCACCAAAACCCAAGAGAAACAGCTCAGTTAAGTGACATTATGGACCAAATGGACTTGACAGGCATCTCTAGAACTCCATTCCATCCAAACGTCACAAAACACACATTCTTCCCCAGAGCCCATGGGACTATCTCCAACATAGCATATGTTAGGGCACAGGAAGATCTTAACAAATCCGGGAAAGCTAAATTAGTTCTCTGTATCCTAGCTGATTACAATGGAATAAGAGCATAAACCAACAGCAAGAAAAGCTCTAGAACATGCTCAGATCCGTGGGGGCAGGGAACTGGAACACACTAGTGACAATCAATGGGTCCCAAGGATTGAGAAGGAAAACAAACATTCATGGAATCAAAAATAAATAAAAACACAACATATGAAGAATAAATAAAAACACAACATCTGAAGACCCATGGAACACACTGGAGCCATTCTAAGAGGACACTTTTTAGCTCTAAGTCCCTACGAGGTCAGTGTGGGACAAGAGAGATATCTTAGAACGTGAAGTTGCCTCCTGTTCCAGAAGACCAGAATTTAGTTCCCAGGGACCACACTGGGCAGCTCACAACTGCCTGCATATAATTCCAGCTTGAGGTGATTTGACACGCTTTTCTGATCTTAAAAGGCAAACCTTTAGGCAAGCCAACCAAAAGAAAGAGGGAAGACCCAAACTTATAAAATTAGAGATGAAAGGCAGACATTAAAATGAACTTCAATCAAATTCAGAAGATCATTAGATCTTACCTAAAAATATATATTTCACTAAATTGGAAAAATATTAAGTAATGGATACATTTATAGACATATGTGACCCATAAAAATTAAACCAGCATGAGATAAACCGTTTCCACAGATGCATGATATGCAATGAAATTGAAGCTGTAATTAAAAGTCTCCCAACTAAAAAGTCAACACAGATATTGATTCACTGGTGAATTTTACCAGACTTTTAAAGAAGAATTAGCACGGATGCTTTCCAAACTAGTCCACACAATAATGAAGGGACATTACTAAACTCCTTTTGTACAACTAGCATTTTCCTGATTCTAAAACAAAGATGGAATAAAGTCACAGACCAATCTCCCCCATGGCCGTAGACACAAAATTCTCAACAAAATATTTGCCAACTAAATTCAAGAATACATCAAAAAGACCATTCATCAGAGTCAAATTGGTCTCATTCCAGAGTTTCAGGGTTGGCTCAATGTATATGAATCAACAAATGTTGTAAATACTATGAATGGGGTCAAAGGCAGAAATCACATGCTTATCTTGACAGATGCAAACAAAAGCTTCCGAAAAAAATCCAACATCACTTCATGTTAAAAGTCCTGAAGAAACAGGAAAGGAAGGTGGCAGACAGTCTATATTTTGCAGGTGATATATATGATTCTATCCCTAAGAGATCCTAAAGACTTTACCAGACAACTCTCAGAATGTATAAACATTTTCAGCAAAGTGGCATGATACAAAATTAATATACAAAAGTTAGTGGACTCCCTATATACCAGGGATAAACATACCAAGAAAGAAATCAGGAAGGCAATCTTATTCAAATTAGCCTAAAATATCTTTTAATAACCGTAATTCTATATTTAAAACTGTGAAATGCCTTACAGTTAAGAGAGACACTGGGAAATGGAGAGGCTGTGCAAGGCTGGGCCCTGCTGGGTGGCTGTGCCTCAGTGTGGGACTTATTTTCCTGGTCTTC